AGGTGCTTCTAGATGGACTGGCATCAAGAGTGCTGGGCTCCCATGGGAACTTGGTTTGGCTGAGACCCATCAAACACTTGTTGCCAATGACCTTCGTGGCCGAACAGTTCTTCAGACTGATGGCCAACTAAAAACTGGACGAGATGTGGCCATTGCGGCTCTTCTTGGTGCTGAAGAATTTGGCTTCAGCACTGCCCCCCTTATAACACTTGGCTGCATCATGATGCGAAAGTGCCATAAGAACACCTGCCCCGTAGGCATTGCTACTCAAGATCCAGTGCTGAGGGAAAAGTTTGCCGGAGAACCAGAACACGTTATTAACTTCTTCTTTATGCTAGCAGAGGAGCTCAGAGAGATCATGGCTCAGCTTGGTTTCCGTACTATGAATGAGATGGTTGGTCGTTCAGACATGCTTGAAGTTGATAAAGAAGTTGTTAAGAGCAATGAGAAGCTGGAAAATATTGATCTCTCCTTGTTACTTAGACCTGCTGCTGACATTCGACCTGGAGCTGCCCAATATTGTGTCCAAAAGCAGGATCATGGTTTGGACATGGCATTGGATCAAAAACTCATCAAACTTTCTGAGGCTGCATTGGAAAAAAGTCTTCCTGTGTACATTGAAACACCTGTCCGCAATGTGAACCGTGCTGTCGGAACAATGCTTAGCCATGAAGTTACTAAGCGTTACCACTTGGCAGGGCTTCCTGCAGATACTATCCATATCAAACTCAAAGGAAGTGCAGGGCAGAGCCTGGGAGCTTTTCTTTGCCCAGGCATTATGCTGGAGCTGGAAGGTGATGGCAATGACTATGTTGGTAAAGGATTATCAGGTGGGAAGATTGTAGTTTATCCTCCAAAAGGAAGCCTCTTTGATCCGAAAGAGAACATTATAATTGGTAATGTAGCTCTTTATGGAGCCACAGGTGGTGAAGCATATCTTAATGGAATGGCAGCAGAAAGATTTTGTGTCCGTAATTCTGGAGCAAAGGCTGTTGTAGAAGGCATTGGTGATCATGGCTGTGAGTACATGACAGGTGGGACTGTCGTTGTTCTTGGGAAAACTGGCAGGAATTTTGCTGCTGGTATGAGTGGTGGCATTGCTTATGTTCTCGATTTGGATGGGAAATTCAAATCTCGATGCAATCTTGAACTTGTTGATCTTGATAAAGTTGAGGAGGAGGACATTATGACTCTGAAAATGATGATACAACAACACCAGCGTCACACAAACAGCCTACTAGCTAGAGAAGTACTTGCTGATTTTGATAATCTTCTGCCTAAGTTTATCAAGGTCTTTCCCAGGGATTACAAACGTGTTCTTGCAAACATGAAAGAGGAATCTGCCTCAAAAGAGGCTGCTGAGCTTGCTGCTAAAGAAGCTGAGGAGAAAAATGAAGCAGAATTGAGGGAGAAAGATGCTTTTGAGGAGCTCAAGAAGATGGCAGCTGCATCTTTGAATGGGAAATCCAATCAGGTAAATTCTTTGATAGTCTCCCCTCAATATGCAACTCTTGTATTCTGCTTTAATCTTCTACAAAGAAAACGAAGCTTCTCAAAGTTACTATATTGATGACAGTTTTAAAAAACGTAAGCCTCTTCACATACTTTGTTAATTAGTGTATGAAACAAAGTTATAATAGAACTAAGTTGCATTTAAGTTGAGCCTATTTATGCTTTATCTATTCCATATGTGGTTTTATGATTGGTGAAACGGTTTTTAGAAGATCTAATATAAGATTTTGATATTCACAAAAGGTTGTAGAAGATGAACCACTGAAAAGGCCTACCCGGGTTAATAATGCTGTCAAACATAGAGGCTTCATTGCTTATAAGCGTGAAGGTGTTCAATACAGAGATCCAAATGTTCGAATGAATGACTGGAAGGAAGTTATGGAGTCGCCAAAAGCTGGTCCTCTATTAAATACGCAGTCAGCCCGTTGCATGGACTGTGGCACTCCTTTCTGTCACCAGGCAAGAGTTATTCTACTTTTTATCCTGTGTATGCACGGTTGTCAATTTCACACTATTTTTAATCAATTTTTTTCACCTTATATCTTATTTGATTGGATATTTTAGGAAAACTCGGGATGCCCTCTTGGAAACAAAATTCCTGAATTTAATGAATTAGTGCACCAAAATAGGTGGCGTGAAGCATTAGACAGGTTGCTTGAGACAAATAACTTCCCAGAGTTCACTGGCAGAGTTTGCCCTGCACCTTGTGAAGGTTCCTGTGTTCTTGGCATAATTGATGATCCTGTCTCAATAAAAAACATTGAATGTTCAATTATTGACAAGGCCTTTGAGGAGGGTTGGATGGTTCCGCGGCCTCCCCTCAAGAGAACTGGGTATGTCTTTAATTTTTGTTGGCAGTACGAGTAGATGCTTTTTATCTCCAAGTTTTGGCATCTTTTGAACTGATTGCGGTTTCTTCTCTGCATCTGGTCTTTTTAAATGGTGCATTGATTGGAGTGTATGAGTTTGCTATATGTTAGCTGAATGAAGAATGTCATTTCATGTATTTTTGCTTGCAGGAAACGAGTGGCTATTGTTGGAAGTGGGCCTTCTGGTTTGGCTGCTGCAGATCAACTAAACAAAAGGGGTCATTTGGTGACTGTGTATGAGCGTGCTGATCGAATTGGAGGGCTAATGATGTATGGAGTTCCCAACATGAAAACTGACAAAGTGGATATAGTTCAACGTCGTGTTAATCTTATGGCCAAGGAAGGCATCAATTTTGTGGTCAATGCTAATGTTGGTATCGACCCTCTGTACTCTCTTGATCAGCTACGACAGGAGAACGATGCTATTGTTTTGGCAGTGGGAGCCACAAAACCTAGGTAAGTCACAAGTAGAGAACAAATATTGGATGTCATTGTTGGATTTTACATCCTCGTTAACAGATGGTATTCCAAAGAACTTTCTTGCTTGCCTGGTGGAAATTTATTACTTTTATGTAGCGTTGGAGGAAATAATTCTCTTTGTTGCAGGGACCTTCCGGTACCTGGTCGGGAGATGTCTGGTGTCCATTTTGCTATGGAGTTTCTTCACAAAAATACCAAAAGTTTGCTTGACAGCAATCTACAGGATGGTAACTACATATCTGCAAAGGGCAAGAAAGTAGTTGTCATTGGTGGAGGTGACACTGGAACAGATTGCATTGGGACATCTATTCGCCACGGTTGCAGTAGCGTTGTAAATCTAGAGCTTCTACCTGAGCCACCGCAAACTAGAGCTCCAGGCAACCCATGGCCACAGGTACGAGCTTTTATTCTGTTGTTGCATGTTGCCTTTAAACCGTGTTGATTTTTTTTCATAATCTCACAAACTCGAATAAAAGTGACATGATCAAAATGCATGCTGGTAATGGCACTGCGCCCAAGCATAAGATGTTATGAGCGAGTTCTAATCCTTTTCTTGTGGCAGTGGCCTAGAGTATTCCGGGTAGACTATGGGCACCAGGAAGCAGCTTCCAAGTTTGGGAAAGACCCAAGGTCTTATGAGGTGTTGACCAAGCGTTTCATTGGAGACGAAGATGGGAACGTGAAGGGACTTGAGGTGGTACGTGTCCATTGGGAGAAGGATGCTAGTGGGAAATTTCAGTTTAAGGAGGTTGAGGGCTCTGAGGAAATTATTGAGGCTGACCTAGTCCTGCTAGCTATGGGATTCCTTGGTCCTGAACCGGTTAGTATTTCCTTGCTCGTCTTCTTCCTTCTTTTAGATTTATTTTAATCTAGCAATTGTTACCACTTAAAAGCTGATTTATTTTTTATTCACTAAATATTGTGCATGGTTTGAACTTGTTTGCACATCACTTCTCATGGTGTTTTGTTTTTTCCAGAATGTGGCAAAGAAGTTGGGCTTGGAGCAAGATAATCGATCAAACTTCAAGGCAGAATATGGCCGTTTCTCGACAAACATTGAAGGGATCTTTGCCGCCGGGGATTGCAGGCGAGGCCAGTCGCTAGTTGTATGGGCAATATCAGAAGGACGACAAGCTGCTTCCCAGGTGGACAAATATCTCATGAAAGAAGAGGATGTTACCATTAGCACTGATAATACCCAGGATGAACTTGTCAAGAGGCACAAAGACCTCACCAAGAGGCATCAAGACAGCAGCAAACACACTGTCATGACATAATCAACCCATGAGATTTTCTTTTGTTGCTCACTCAGTACTCTGAAGATATGGAACCGATACACAGGACTAGGATTAATAATCGCATAGAATGATGCCATGCAAGGAATAAATTGGCGAATCACCAGAATGGTGTCCGGCTCCCGCATATGAAGACTTGCAAGATTGGGTAGACGTGAGAAGTAGCATGTGTGTAGCTGGTATAGAAGTTAGAATGATTTTGGTGTTCGTTCTTTTATAGCTTTCAACCTGCTGGCTTGAAAATCGTTAAGCTCTTCTGGTGTTGAGAAATAATGTACAGCTTTGTCTCTTGAATATTTCATGAAAAATGTGGGGAAATTATTTACTTCTTTATTGTCCAGTTATTTGTTCTCGAGAAACACGATCATTTTTGTGAGATGGATAGCCTCGTGCCTCATTGTTTAGCTATAAGGGGGTGCACCTCCATACACAAAAGTGCAAACTTCTACTGAATTTGATCTCTTATGGAAGCTGAAACTATTCTACCTAAGGTTTGGAGGATGGATTTAAATCTTGCTGCTGCCCATTTTTCTTGTACAATTCAATATTTTATTTTCTATTACTCTTCCCTATAGTCAACTGAATTAAGGGATTTGCAGGATGTCTGTGAGCTAATAGGAAGTAGCAATATCCTATGCATTCTCTCCTTCGAGTGACCCAAAAAAAAGTGAATAACCACTGAAAAAGAACAGAGGCTCTGCCAACTGTTAGGAGCTCACCATAAGTAACAGCTAACTAGTACCAAGATTTAGCCACATTTGGTCTCTGTTATTTAGTTTTGTCTTGGCTGTTGAGGTTGTAGGAGTGATTTCCCTGGAACTAGATTGCAGAGAACAACTCAATAACAGCAAAAGGATGATAACTTGCCAGGAAAAAGCCAAAAATAATGCAATGTTAACAGGAAACGATTACAGAAATTTTGAAAGAACGTATCCTCCTTACATTGAAAGACACTAAGGCACTATTTCACCCTTTACTTATTCACTCCTTCATACATATGTAACAAGGGTTAATAGTACTAAAGGATGGAATTTTGTACCAGAAAATAAGACAGCGGTGACCTTCTTTCATAAGCTAATTGGTCGTAGAGTCAGAAGGTGCCGCCCAGCTGCAAGAGGTGACAAAAGGAATTGGTTTTGCGAGGAAAAAATATTTTGATGAAACAAGAAGCAGAAGCAGTTGAAACTGTATTCATTGTACCTTCCAATTCCGAATTGGTTTAGAGAGGAAAAATATTTAGATGAAACAACAAACACAAGCAGTTGAAACTGTATTCATTGTACCTCCCAATTCCTCACTCATAGTTCCTTGGTTTATAGACAACATAAATTTTAAATGAAAGTGGACCATTTGAAAGCACCTAATCGAAGATCCAGCTTTTGCTCCTTATTTCGTTCAGACAGTGAGAATTTTTTAGGAAACAATTCTCAAAGAAGATTTTCTTCATTTGTTTCTTCTTTTAATTCATTTCCATGTGTTCTTAACTAATATCTAAAACTACTATCCTGGACACAGCTGGGGTTCACTGGTGCAAATTGGTGATGCTTGTTTGGTTCAATTAGCCAAATTCTAACAGTTCCTAATTGTCATATTACGTGACCTTGTCAAAATGTTAAGTATCCTAAAGCAAAGGTTACAAGATCTCATTATCAAAACTTCCGGGCTTCTGATGTCTCTTTATGCTCCAACAATTCTGACCCAAGCATTTTGAATCCCATGAATGGAAAAAATATACAGCATACCTGAACAGCCTCAATTTCCCTTTCTGAGACAGGTGTGCGTCTTGGCTGAAGAGAAGCTTTGCCTCCCTCAGCAATATTGGCTGGAGATGCGGGAACTTCCGAGCTTGACATGATAAAATGATGAATCTCTGTATCTGTTGACGCAGCTTGAGTTTGGGGGACAAACCCCACGCAGAAGAGAACAATAAATTACTTGAGATCATCAGGATTACAAGATAAAAAAGGCAAATAAAATGGTGAAAATAGTAGACAATCAAACATAAATGCTGGAAGTGAAAATTACATTACTCGGCCAAAAGTAGATATTTAGAAAATTCTCAATGTGCACATGTACAATAAATACAGAAGATTGGCTAGCGCCTCATTTAGTGATCAAGCAAAACAAGTGACCACCAGAGTCATTAATCAGATTGCATTATGACGACCTTGTATCCGTAGAGAAACAAAAACAAGTAGCGGGTTTTAATTGCTATAAATCCAAAGGTCATTTCGTTTAAAAAAATTGTAACTTTTGACCTCCACCATCGACTCATCTATATAACATCATAAATCACATTATCAGAATCTAATTTCTCAGACAATCACTGCCTTCGTTCTAACCATCTCTTATCCCTCCACTATAATTTCCCCAACAAATCTTCAAATTACAATATATTTAGCTCACAAAAGCTTATAATTTATGCTTGAATACTAAGCAAAAACACAAGCAACTTGTTTTTAGATTCCGCTTAACCAACCAACTCCAAATGTCGATAACCCTATCAATTACAGCTAAATTGGTCAAAAATTTTCAAAGATCACAACGTTGGATACATGAGAACGGAATCTACTTCTTTATTTCTCCAAAGAAACACACAGAAACCGAAATTCAAACAGAAAACAGTAAAAAAAGCAGCAAAAAGTCCCACAAAAATCAAATTATATATAGTTAGTTATGAAGGCAACAAAAAGGAAAAGAAAAAAAAGGAAGAAAAGGGAACCTGAAGATGAAGATTTTGCGTGTCTTTGAGGGAATTTAATGCGTGGAATTCTCTTGACTACGTGTGCTGCTGCTGCTGCTCCTCCTCCCATTTCTCCCTTCGAAGTTCCAAACTTTACCTTCCTCTCTCTCCCCTATCAGAAAGAGGCAATCCTATCTCTCATGTGGAGTCGTGGACTATGATTTATCTTAATGGGCTGGACCCAACTAGTTTAAAATATATTGGGCTGGGCTTAGCTGATTGAATTAGGTTAGGCGAACTTAATAAAAACCCCTGACCTTTTAAGTTTTTCTTGAATAGGCCCCTGGCCTATTTTTTATCTAAATTAGATTCTCAGCTAATTTACAAGTTGCAATACGAGTCAGATAAATAAAAAGTAAATGCAAAGGAATTTAAATATAAAATAATATAAGTATACGTGAGTTTCAAGTATAAATTTTTTTATTTTAAAATATATTTTAAAAAATAATATAAACTATATCTTAAAATTTTATTTGACAATTTAAAATTTTAATTAAAATAATTTTTTAATATTTAATAGCTTTTCTGACTGCTAGTGCTTCTCCTTGCAAGGCTGTTCTACACGGGCTTCGAAAAGCGCTTCTTCCTAAAGCAGTCCCTTCAGAATTTCAGCACCCACTAGCAATGTTTGCATCATTATCCTTAGTCTTGATAGTAAAAAATAGTCCCCGATTGCTAGTAATTTGCTCACTGTTCTAAGTTCTTATAATGAATCATCAAAGTCTCCAAAAATGGGGTTTGGTTCTTGTTCAATCTTGTCGAATCATGTAGTTGGTGGAACACGTTGTGTCATACAGCCCTAATTAAATTGGTTCTGAAGCTTCATGTTTGTATCTTTCATATGTGGCGATAAGTGCTTTGAAACAAGGAATATTGCATTTCAATTTCATTATATAATTTGGCAAGGATGTTAGGTAAGTAGTAAGTGCACCAAGTGAAAAAAAAATTACAACAAATGTAAAATGATGGAAATGTGTTTACAATGCTTGTAATTAAGTTGTTGGATAAATATTAAGATATAATTTATATTATTATAATATAAAAAACTTTTAGGTTTCAATTTATATGGATTCATCACCTTAATTTTATTAATTAAATAAGAATAGAAAAATTCAATCTCTTGATTGTCTAGTCATTAATTATGCCATATTAAAATACCATTTCAACTAAAAAAATTAAAATTTCAAATTAAATAATAAAATATAATTTATACTACTCTTTAATACTTTATACTCCTAATATTTTTTTTTTCTAATAAGTTTCAAGATGTAAAGGCTTATATTGTAGATATGAATAATGCAAGCACATCTTCATGTCATTCCCAATATGTAGGAATATTTGACCCTCACAGCTAATATTTTTGTTTTTAATAAGGGAAATATTAAGAGTTTCTTTATTATTATACTAACCTGCTTGATTCACTGTAATAATAAATAATCACTAAATTAAAAATATATAAATTTAAATAGTCGTGTTTAAGATATAATCATATTATATATGATATACAATAATTATTCTGATTGAATAATTGTTGAGTGTTATTACTGATTTTTATTTTTTATTTTTTATTTTTGTGATAGATGGTAAAAATATTTTACGAATGTAATATTTGCAAATCATGGTAAAAAATGCTATTCAACTGTGAGCCAAGAAGCCATCATTTTCTCCATATCCAATCTCCTTACGTGACACTATAGACGCGTGGCAATTAGACTTCTTGGTCCTGATATAATTTAAACGACTTGGTTGACTTTGATTTTTATTACAAAAAATGTCCTAAATGGACTTGTTTATCTATACTGTTTTGTTGTTATGTTCCAACTTTATGCCAAGTGAAAACTGCACCAGAATCAATCCTATGCTTCTTAAGCTTCCTTATAGGCTTAAATTCAATTAAAGCATATTTGTTATAGAATAATAAGATTTAAAGATAACAAACTAAACCAAAAAACATGGCTAAAAAAAATGGTTTTTTAAAATTTGAATGTAAATGTATATTTTGTTTTTTTAACTTTGCAAATTATAAACCTTTTATCCTTAATAATTTATAAAATTTAATTTTGATTCCAAACTATATTTAAATCTTGAGAATTGGTGTGAGAAATGAAAGAAATAATATTTAAATTTTGATAATAGATAGAGAAAATCTTGACTAAAACCGATTTTGACCATAAAAACAAGTGATTTAGATGTTAATGAATTTTTTTTTATGATGAAAGTGTATTCAAGATTTTTTTTTCTTTTAAATTTGCTTGAAATGTTCTATCTAGACTTGAAAATAATTTTGATTTTGGATTGATTGTGAGTTTTGAAGTTAATTTTTAAGTTATTGGAGCTATAAGTATGTTTTATAAGGTATTATAAGGTATTTAGAGTGTTAAAAATTAATTTTTTTTATTTAAATCAGAATAGCTTGATTCTCTAACAACCAGATGTCACTGGAATCCGGGCAGGGCAATGCAGACAGCATGTTGGCTGCAATGGTTTTTCAAAGAATTAAGGATTGTCCACCCTTTAAGAAAAAATAAATAAAGCACCTGTCGTTGGCTGCTTCAGACCATTGCACTTAGGCTTTTTCTAAAGGCTCAAGAGCTCTATACCATCTATGCTCGAGAGACCAGGGCTTTTTTTTTAATCTATTACAATTAGATTTTTTAATTTGTTTTAGTTATTTTTTAAAAAAATTAGGCTTTTTCTAAAGGCTCAAGAGCTCTACACCATCTAAGCTCGAGAGACTAGGGTTTTTTTTTTTAATATATTACAATTAGATTTTTTAATTTTTTCTAGTTATTTTTTAAAAAAATTCATTACTTTATATTTAATATAATTTATTTTGGTTTGATTTTTTTTCTAATACCTTGATTTTTGGTTAATTATTAATTTTATAAGTGTTTATTTTAGATAAACAATTATAAAAAATAATTATTGAACTCCAATTAAATACATGATCCAGATATAGTTATTTCAGTTGGAGAGGATAAATCTTCAAAATTTATTTTGTTAAATAAGTAATTTTTAATTTATTTAATTATATACATTCAAGAAAATGTTTGGAAATCTGTTTTTGACCATTGGTATCTACATATAATATTCTCTTACCAGTGCATGGACGTCACAAAGCATCAAACTTTCTCCGCCTTATGGCGTACACTAGCAAAGTCATCTCCTTCATCTCCCTCTCACTTTTCCTCTCCTATCTTAACTCTGCAACAAGCCAAAATCATTGCTTAAAGACTGCTTGTAGCAGCAACGAGCCGGTGATTCGATTTCCTTTACGGATTAAAAATCGCCAGTCGAGTTCATGTGGTTTTCCAGGTTTTGACATATCCTGTGGTAGCTCCAATGAGACCGTATTAGAGCTACCATCATCAGGAAAATTTAGAGTTCAAGCTATAGACTATGCCGAACAAGAAATATGGATCAATGATCCGGAAAACTGCCTCCCCAGTCGAATTCTCTCGCTTGATCTCTCTAACTCTCCTTTCTCTGGCCTTTACTATCAATCCTTCATGTTCTTTAATTGCTCATCTTCTGATTATAGGAAATACGGGCTAAATCCAATAGCTTGTCTTAGTGGCTCTACGTATACAGTTTTTGCTACATCTTCTTTAAGGATTGTTGATTTTCTACAGACATGGAACTCATCCTGTAATTTGACCAGGATTGTTCCTGTTCCAGTTATGTGGCCATTTTATCAAGAAATCTTGTCCTCGGACCTTAGCGAGGACCTGCTTCTCACTTGGGATCAACCTGACTGCGGAAAGTGTGAGTCGCGTGGTGGACGGTGCGGCTTTAGGACCAACTCTGGTGAAACCGTTTGCTCAAACGTTCCACATCGAGGTAATTTGCTTTATACTCTCTATGATCTTTGCCTATTCAATTCCCATATAATTTTATTTTTCTTAATTTTGGCCATAATTATGATGACAAATGGTACGTCCTTGGGATTCCATTTCAAGAAGCTAGCTAATGAGATAGCTAGTGATAGCTTGCAATGCAAAACCTAGCTAACTCAAAGCTAACTATCAAGCCATAGAAACCTCTTTTCATATAGATTTTTTCCCCTTACAAGAGGGTCTAAATTAATAGACCTCAGGATACAAAATAGTAGGTTTTTCTCTTTCGTTTTAAATCTCAATATTCCACTTTTTTTTCTTCATGTTCGAACTTGAGAATTTCAAATAAGAATTTCAATTGAGTTAAAGATCCCTAAATAAAATCTCAAATATTGACCACTCTAAGTGTGTTTTTGTAGTTATTTTCGTTTAATAATAATCAACTCATTATCAATTCTAGAGAATTCATCAAAATACAAAAGCATTAAAGAGGTTGGTGTGAATGATGGTGCCGATAGATTTAACCCATAATTGCAACTTATCTCTATTGACTTAAGCAACTTATTCTAGTAATTTAATTGTATGATGGGATATTAATCTATACATAATAGATTAGTTGCGTGAGGTTAGCCTGCTAGATAATTTAATATCAAGGCTAGTGATTGGCTGCCAAGGGTATCGATGGTGACCAATTATAGATGGAGTATAAATTATCTTTCTCCAAAAAATGCCAAGGAAATGAAACGCACTCCTCACTTGAAATGGCGCATTTAACACTTTCTAGATTGCAATCTTAGTTTTGGATGGTTGACACAGTCATTTGGAGAAACTATACCAATGGCTTCATTTGGTCAACACTTTCCCATTTGGCCCCACGAGGAAATTTTATATAGCTCAAGTGCTCAGCCCATATGGTCTCAAACCAAATGCCACGGAGAACATGGACTATTCTCATTGGCTTACATAATGCTCTTCGTCTCCATTGGGAGTAGTCTTTCTCCTGAGAAAATCAGTGGCAAATATAGCTCTAATATCTTTCTCCAATGGATCCTGCCTACCATTATCAAAAGTCTTGTAGCACTATCCATTAGAATATTCTAAACTTCTTCCTAACAGTGTACACATGCCATGAACTAATCTACTGTCTACATTATGATCAGGAGTTCATAGGAAAGCTTTTTATGCCATCACGCTAGCAGCTGGAATACCAGGGGCATTAATTCTACTTGGTCTCCTGTGTTTCATCTGTGGTAGGGTAAAGAAGTGTGCTCGAAGGAACCCATTAGGAGGTCTACCAGAAATCA